AGGCATTGTGCACTTTGGGGAACCCATCGTCCTTGTCGTTATCTCCGTCGCCGGCACCCTTCTTCCTGGCATTGTCGTTGTGGAGCCCGAGCTTGGCGTAGTAGCGTCGGAGCATGGTGCATTCTTTGAGGGCATGCTTCACTGGGCCCTGGTGGTAAGGATAGGGCTTCTTAAGCATATCGTCGAATACTCCGGGGGCCCTGCCGGGGCCTCGGAGATTCTTGCGATCCGCGGCTGCGACGAAATTAGCCTCGAGGGCCTCTTGCTTCCCCGGGTGTCCCTTTTTCTTTTGCTTGGGGAAACGGGAGGCCGAGGCCCCGGGGGCCTCGTCCCTCCACTTCCCCTTTGTGTTGCCTTCGGGGAAGATGGCCTCGACGGCCTCGACGGCCTCTTCACCCGAGGCGAAGTTGGTGGCGATGTCGAGGAGGGCGGCCACTGAGGTTGGTACATTCCGGCCCAACTCTCGGACCAGGTCTCGGCAAGACGTGCCGGAGAGGAAAGCCTGGACCACTTTCGAGTCACCGACACTGGGCAACTCGGTACAGTGCTTGGAAAATCACCGGATGAAGTCTCGGAGAGACTCGTTCGGCTTTTGGCGACAACTCTTGAGGTCCCAGGATTTCCTAGGGCGCACGTATGTGCCCTGGAAATTCTCGACGAAGATCTTTACCAAGTCACGCCAGTTGTGGATCTGCAAGGGAGGGAGGTGTTCGAGCCAAGCTCGCGCCAAGTCTGACAGGAATAAAGGGAGGTTGCGAATGATGAGCAGGTCATCGTTCGCGCCGCCTAACTGACAAGCCAGGCGGTAATCGGCCAGCCACAACTCGGGGTTGGTCTCGCCGCTGTACTTCGCGAGGTTGGCCGGTTGTCGAAACCGAGCGGGGAACGGGGCGCCGCGGATGGCCTTGCTAAAGACATGAGGGCCAGGTGGCCCAGGAGAAGGACTGCGGTCCTCGCCACTGTTGTAGCGGCCGCCTTGGTGCGGGTGGTAGCCTCGGGCGGGCCCATCGTCGTCGTGGCGTCGTCGCCTGCTGACCACATCATGGTCATCTTGTGCCTTGCGTCGGTCGCAGAGGCGGTCATGCACTGAGGGGGCCCTGAGGCGGTCGTGCACTGAGGGCTGTTTTGAGGTGTCCTCACGCCGTCGAGACGTGGAGCTTTCGGCCTGCTGTACCGTGGCGGTCTCGAGAAGGTCTCAGAGCTCACCGCAAACCCGTCGCCCCTCCGTGGTAGAGGGCTCGGGCATCGCCTGGACTAGCATTGCCGCTACCACGACGTTCTGGCTAGCGCGATTGAAGATTGGGGGTTGCTCACTCCCCTCATCGTTGTTGATGTGGCGGTGTACGTCGTGGGCCCTTTGCCGGGCTCTTCCGCTATCACCGTGACGCTGCTACTCCTGTTCGAGAGTGTTTCGGAGTTGTTGCAGCAGGAGTCGGTCTTGGTTGATCTTTGCCTGGAGCTCACGGAGCTGCTCCAGGTCCAGGTGTCGGAGTTCCTCGGGGGTGGCATTCACGTTCCGTGCCGCTCGAAGCTCGACGAGCGGGGGTGTGGCGTCGCCTGCCCTTTGGCGGAGCGGGGAGCGGTCACCTGCCCCTTCATGCTCATTACTTACCCCTGGCATTCCGAGTCCGATGTGGAAACACTCTCGAGTGGGATCATAAGTGCCTTCGTCATCGGAGTCGGAGTAGCCGAAGCAGTAGTCGCTTACGGCCAAAAAGCGGCGCATAGCCTCAAGGTCGCGAAGCCCGGAGAAGTTCGCTCTGGCCCACATCTCGTCCTCTTCCGAGGAGTCAGTGTGGGTGTGGGTCGAGGTTGCGGTGGAAAAGTCGAGGGTGAATTGTCGGTGGTGTCCCAAGGGCTCCGTGTGAGCGAAAGCATAGGCGGAAGCGTAGGCGGCGGCGGCGTTTCTCAACCCAAAAGGGTATGGAGACGGGGCCATCGTCGGGCCCTGCTTCGCCGTAGTTGGCTCCTCGGGTGGTGGCGGTGTGGAACTTGACGACGGGGCGTCGCTGCACGTCACCGGTGTCTTTCCCCTACCCAAGCTTAGGCCAGACAGGTCCCCAACTAGGGACCTCATACCAACAGCCGGGCACGGGATACCAGCGGAGCGCGGTGTGTCGCCCTGAGGTCGTGCGGTGTCGGGGTGGTCGCGCTCGTGCCGTGACTGGCGAGCGTGACGAGAGCGGCGGCCCGGACGCCGCCTGCGCCCGGGCTGCTGGTGCGCAACGCCGTCATCGGCCAGAGGGGCTCTGGGTGGGAGGAGTACTAGGTCGTACTCACGTCCTAGAGATATGAACTCTAGGCTCCCAAAGCAGATCACCGTGCCGAGACGTAGTGGGCGTATGGGGTTAGCCATCCAGAACTTGTTGAGACGATCAAGCTAACACGCAGAGGCCCCTACCTGGCGCGCCAACTGTCTGTGTTTCGGACCGGGGGGTCCTCAACCAACCAGTGAATTTGAACTGCGTGCCCCTAATACTTGATGGTGATGCAAAGAGACACAAGGTTTATACTGGTTCAGGCAATTGGCACCCTACGTCCAGTCTGAGAGATCGATCTTGTATTCCTTGCACCGAAGTGCTTGTGGTAGGGGGTTACAAGCTGGGTGAGAGAGGGAACTAGTCCCAGGTCTCGGCGTGGAACAGCGCGGGCTACTTGAGATGTTGCTCTCGGGCAGCTTGGGGGAACGTGTTTTACAGAGTGTTGTTTGCACGTGTGTGAGAGCGCGGTTCTTTCATATGTTTTTCTTGTCCCCCCAGAGCTATCCCTGGCTGCTTCCTTTTATAACCGCAAGGAGAGAGCTAGGAGTACACGAGTGAGCTACATGTGGAGCCTACTGTAGTTCAGTCCTGTAGGTGTTGGGAATGGCGATCGGTACTTGACTGACGTGCCGTGCTGGCCAGGCTTGAGGTTGTTGAGGTCATGGGGGTCCTTGTTGATGTCTAGTCAGTATGGCCTCCACGGCAGGAGACATGCCGTGCCTCATGGATTCTTGATTTGGTGGAGTGCCGAGGCCTAGTGGGTGCTGTAGCTGATTGCGCCGAGGCCTCGGAGGTGACCGGTGTGTGGTACGGGGGTCTCAGTGGTCCGCGTCGTACCCGGTCCAGGTGGAAAAGTGCGGAGCAGATGTCCACATGGCACGGTAATCCCTACACCGTCAGTAGGGGATGGTAAAAAGGAGATTTGACCGCCGTCCCATTGCCCCTGTTGCTGTACCGTGCCCATTGTGGTTTGTCGTAGTAGGTGTGACCAGGCGCACTTACACGGATGGGATGGCTCGCCAGAGGAGCGGTTGAGGTGGAGACGACGAGGATGTGGGTCGAGCCCGGCCTCGGCCAAGGTGGAGAAGGAAAAATACGTCCGAGGCCCTGCCGGGGGGTCTCGGACGAGGCGGAGGACGAGCAGTTGGTCTTTCCTGCTATTTCTGAGACTACAGGGACATGGACTTGACCTTCCACGCCGCTTTGTCCTTGGCACAGGGGTTAGGTAGCACAGAAGCGACGGTGTCGGCAGGGGGCACGATGATGAGCACGATGGCGGTAAACCTCGCGCGCTGCGCCCGTCCCTATCGTCTCCGTCACTTCTGCCCGAACTATGCTGTGTGTAGGCGACGCTATGGGAGTAGTTGGGCGCATTAATCTGGACGCGACATTTTGTCAGAGGAGCCGGTCGGGGTGGAGGTGACGAGGTTGTTGTTGCGAGCCCGGCCCTCGGGCGAATCGGAGAATTGGCATCCCGTCCGAGAGGCCTTGTGGTGCTGGGCCTCGGCGAGAGGGCCTCGACGGGGCGGAGGGCTTTGGCCTTTCGTCTGAGGTCTCTGCGCAAGCCTCAGGCGAATCGGAGAATTGGCCGAGACCTCATGGTTGTCCTTTGGCTTTGATTTTTGCAAGGCTTAAGCAATATTTTCGGTTCTTGCTTAGGGTACCCCTTCTTGTGGTATCCGACAAGTCATGAAACGCATCTTAGCATACATGTTAGTCTTAGTGATTGGGTTACCATTTCAATCACCAAAACCATTAAGAGTTGTGGCTAGGTCCACGTATCTATAGTCATTGATAGGGATGGTGACTTAATATGGCTGCCCTATATATAGTAACATTTACATAGATCGGTGGGCATTGTCCTTATGCTCGCTTATGATGATTTTCACAAGCGGTGACTTGGCGGTCTTCCACCGCAATTAAAATGGTCTATGTCCATGAATCCTTTTACAAAGAGTATGGTATTATCTCGATATTAAATTAGTTACAATTGGAGAAGTATATAAATGTTAGAAAACAACGAGGAACTTGCAACATGAATAAAACAAAACAGAATTTGTTGGCCTTGACTAGCCCTTAGCCAAGATAAAACTATAGTCAAATTTTACTAAAACAAACATAATTCATGATTCCAAAAGAAGCCATCCTTATAATGGAATATTCTAGGTGCTCCTTTTTGTGGGTTAAATTTTGTTTGGCTTGTTTAGAATCCTAGTCGCTGCTCGTAACACACCCCTTGACAACATAACGTAGTGATGGCCTATGAGAAGACCGGTCCACGAAGTTAAATTATGTATTAATTGGTTTGTGATAATATTTTCGTGTCATGGTTTGGTCCATTGAGCAATTTGTGTTGAAAATGATCACGTGTAAATTCAACATTCATTGCATTTTTCGACATGCAAACACAAGGTAAACATGCTTTATTGATTCTCACATACATATATGTATTAGAAGTTTAGAAAACCAAAGTACATAGCCATCTATATGAATATCCACAAATACTATTTTACCATACATAAACAATATTGTAAAGTGTGCATATATAGCTCCACGGCAACACGCGGGAGGAGAACATAGTATACTTTATTTCGTGGTAGCCTACCACAAAACAAGCATAGAAAATGAATTTTTGGCATGCTCATTCTGTACCATCGGTCTCTCTAAAAGTTTATTTTAGAGGTCAATATAATCTCTATGCGTCGGAGAAGAGCACGCGCGTCTATTACTCAGACTTGTTCACGGTCTTGTAAACTGCACGGCCTTAAAGTCAGCGAGGATGACATCATCGACAACACGGTAGCCACCAGCCTTCGCAGCCAAGCGAAGGAGATAGGTCCTTGATCGGCTCCCTTCACGTCGAAGGTAAAGGTGTTTCTTGGCGACTCCTTGAGGTCGTCCGAAAGTCTGTGGCGCTTTCGGCTTGACCGACACCTCGGAGATGGCGATGTTGGTGATGAGGGATAGTTTGGTGGAGCTGGAGTCCCACCGATTGTGAGGGTGAGCTCGTTGCACACCACGACCCGACGGCAAGCAAGTCTTTGCCAACGCCACCGCCATGAGCAGGAAGGAGGAGGACGAGGAGGCCATTGGTGAGCTAGCAAGTAAGTTGGCACAGAACCTTGTTTATTTCTTGATCGATGGAGAGGGATGGATGGATGTGGGATGTGTGTGGCGATCGATGTTGTAGCTAGCCGCTGCGTATTTATGGTTGGCGGAGGCAAGCAAATTAGGCATGGACGTAAGGTGAGCCCCATAGATCGCTGGCTGGCTTGTTTATCGGCGGACACTTGTTCAATTGCCACAAATAGATATGGGCTAGGCATTCCGGGTTGTCTTGTCACCAAAAGAAGTGCAGGACATGCAGACCTCTCAGAAATAAAGCATGGGCATGCAACCCTCAACGTTTTTAAAGTACTGTTTTTAGAGTAAAATACGGTACAAGCCACTATTCCCAGTGACACACTTAAACAAATTTAGTACTCCTTATATCCCAAAATATACAACGCACACCCATTTCAGAATTCAAATCTGTTAACTTAATTTTTTGACCAATACTAATATAACGTATGTATGCTGCAATCCATATCTACTCTATCTATCTATATCATCATCATTATTATTAGTACTACTACTACTATTATTATTATTATTATTATTATTATTATTATTATTATTATTATTATTATTATTATTATTATTATTATTACTATAAAAAGAGCGAAAGAATAACACACACCCAACAGGGTCCCACCCACCCATTGTCTAGTCTTTTGGATGTGTTTTCAAAATTCAGTATTAGCGTGATAAAAAATTCCACTCCGCCCTAACGAACAGGCCTGGATTGAACGTGTATTCTATTCTAGTTTTCTCCGCTGTGCTAAGCACTGCTTTTTTACTCACCCCGACAATTTGGTATAATCACTAAGCTCCCATATGTGATTGGAGTGTATCACCCTCAAGTCTAGCAATTCCCTGTAACTTCTCTACTCCCCAACCCGCTTAAAATGTCTGATTGGAAGGGTATAAATAGCCCCAAGCGTGCCAACATGCTGCTCCAGTGGTCATACTTCCTGAGAACACTAGATGATATGGTGAAATAAATGTAAACACTGGATTATATTGTGAATTCAACTAGATGTTGCACCAACGAACAATGGTAACATTTTTGTGAACACCGGAAGGTACAGTGACACAAAAAATGGTAATGATGGATCATCATGCGACCATACAATACTTTGTGCTTTGCTTCTTGTTGTTAGCATATGATACAGTTAGACCTAATCAAATGACAGATCAAGGCCAAAAAGATTGTCGGGGTAAAATTTTTGGACCATTCTCACCCGTTGGACACATAGGGCCAGTTCGGGCTATTTCTCGGGTTTCCAAGGTTGGGTCAGGTTACAGGTAAAAAACATGGTTGAAGCCCACACAATGCACTTGTCGGGTCTGGTGGCCCATGAGCAATTCATTCAATGACCCTAAAATCCTTCAAACCGGAACATCCTTTCAAACTATTTTTAGGAAACTAGCTTTTCAATTTTTGGTCATAACTTCTTGCTTCGAACTTTGTTTCAAATGACATTGTACAGTATAGAAAGCTTGTGACGTGCTGTGTAAGGTTTTGCAAAAATACTTCACTTGACTAATAAAAATTCACATTTGATCATCATGTGAATACCGGAATGTTGCGCGCACATTGATGCTTCGGTATTTGAGTCAGAGGTCCTTCTTCCAAGTGTTGTTTCTATGGCCATACTGTCCATGCAGGATTTTGCAAAAATACTTGGTCCAGCGAATTAAAATGACCATATAATCATGCGCACAATTTGATGTTTTGGTATTTTCCCATATCTTTCTCCTCCAGACTTTAGTTTTAGTGGTCTTTTATTTGTTCGAAAGCATGTGAAAATATTTACAACTTGAACCTAACATCATACATTTTTATTTACTCTAAATCCAAATTCATAAGACAAGTCCTAGTGATTGGGTTTATCATGGCTTTAATATCTTTGTGTGATCTAAGAGAAGTCATGAAACGCATCTTAGCATACAAGTTAGTCTTAGTGATTGGGTTACCATTTCAATCACCTAAACCATTAAGAGTTGTGGCTAGGTCCACGTATCTATAGTCATTGATAGGGATGGTGACTTAATATGGCTGCCCTATATATAGTAACATTTACATAGATCAGGTGGGCATTGTCCTTATGCTCTGCTTATGATGATTTTCACAAGCGGTGACTTGGCCGGTCTTCCACTGTAATTAAAAATGGTCTATGTCCATTAATCCTTTTACAGTAGCATGGTATTATCTGATATTAAATTAGTTACAATTGGAGAAGTATATAAATGTTAGAAAACAACGAGGAACTTGCAACATGAATAAAACAAAACAGAATTTGTTGGCCTTGACTAGCCCTTAGCCAAGATAAAACTATAGTCAAATTTTACTAAAACAAACATAATTCATGATTCCAAAAGATGCCATCCTTATACGGAATATTCTAGGTGCTCTTTTTTGTGGGTTCAATTTTGTTTGGCTTGTTTAGAATCCTAGTCGCTGCTCAGAACACACCCCTTGACAACGCAACGTAGTGACGGCCATATGGGAAGACCGGTTCACGAAGTTAAATTATGTATTAATTGGTTTGTGATAATATTTTCGTGTCATGGTTTGGTCCATTGAGCAATTTGTGTTGAAAATGATCACATGTAAATTCAACTTTCATTGCATTTCTGACATGCAACACATGGTAAACATGCTTTATTGATTCTCACATACATATATGTATTAGCAGTTTAGAAAACCAAAGTACATAGCCATATATATGAAGATCCACAAATACTATTTTACCATACATAAACAACATTGTAAAGTGTGCATATATAGCTCCACAGCAACACGCGGGAGGAGAACATAGTATACTTTATTTCGTGGTAGCCTACCACAAAACAAGCATAGAAAATGAATTTTTGGCATGCTCGTTCTGTACCATCGGTCTCTCTAAAAAGTTTATTTTAGAGGTCAATATAATCTCTATGCGTCAGAAGAGCACATGCGTCCATTACTCAGACTTGTTCGCCGGTCTTGTAAACTGCACCGGCCTTAAAGTCAGCAGGGATGACATCATCGACAACACGGTAGCCACCAGCCTTCGCAGCGAAGCGGAAGGAGATAGGTCCCTTGATCGGCTCCTTGCTGTCGAAGGTAAAGGTGTTGGCTGGCGACTCCTTGAGGTCGTCCGAAAAGTCTGTGGCGCCCTTCGGCTTGACCGACACCTCGGAGATGGCGACATTGGTGATGAGGGATAGTTTGGTGGAGCTGGAGTCCTTACCGATCGTGAGGGTGAGCTCGGTGCTGCACGACCCGATGGCAAACAGTGCTGCCAACGCCACCGCCGTGGAGCAGGAAGGAGGAGGACGAGGAGGCCATTGGTGAGCTAGCAAGTAAGTTGCACAGAACCTTGTTTATTTCTTGATCGATGGAGAAGGATGGATGGATGTGGGATGTGTGTGGCGATCGATGTTGTAGCTGGCCGCTGCGTATTTATGGTTGGCGGAGGCAAGCAAATTAGGCATGGACGTAAGGTGAGCCCCATAGATCGCTGGCTGGCTTGTTTATCGGCGGACACTTGTTCAATTGCCACAAATAGATCTGGGCTAGGCATTCCGGGTTGTCTTGCTGTCAGTCAAAAGAAGTGCAGGACATGCAGACCTCTCAGAAATAAAGCATGGGCATGCAACCCTCAACGTTTTTAAAGTACTGTTTTAGAGTAAAATACGGTACAAGCCACTATTCCCAGTGACACACTTAAACAAATTTAGTACTCCTTATATCCCAAAATATACAACGCACACCCATTTCAGAATTCAAATCTGTTAACTTAATTTTTTGACCAATACTAATATAATGTATGTATGCTGCAATCCATATCTACTCTATCTATCTATATCATCATCATTATTATTAGTACTACTACTACTACTATTATTATTATTATTATTATTATTATTATTATTATTATTATTATTATTAATACTATAAAAAGAGCGAAAGAATAACACACACCCAACAGGGTCCCACCCACCCATTGTCTAGTCTTTTGGATGTGTTTTCAAAATTCAGTATTAGCGTGATAAAAAAATCCACTCCGTCCTAACGAATAGGCCTGGATTGAACGTGTATTCTATTCTAGTTTTCTCCGGCTGTGCCAAGCACTGCTTTTTTACTCACCCCGACAATTTGGTATAATCACTAAGCTCCCATATGTGATTGGAGTGTATCACCCTCAAGTCTAGCAATTCCCTGTAACTTCTCTACTCCCCAACCCGCTTAAAATGTCTGATTGGAAGGGTATAAATAGCCCCAAGCGTGCCAACATGCTGCTCCAGTGGTCATACTTCCTGAGAACACTAGATGATATGGTGAAATAAATGTAAACACTGGATTATACTGTGAATTCAACTAGATGTTGCACCAACGAACAATGGTAACATTTTTGTGAACACCGGAAGGTACAGTGACACAAAAAATGGTAATGATGGATCATCATGCGACCATACAATACTTTGTGCTTTGCTTCTTGTTGTTAGCATATGATACAGTTAGACCTAATCAAATGACAGATCAAGGCCAAAAAGATTGTCGGGGTAAAATTTTTGGACCATTCTCACCCGTTGGACACATAGGGCCAGTTCGGGCTATTTCTCGGGTTTCCAAGGTTGGGTCAGGTTACAGGTAAAAAACATGGTTGAAGCCCACACAATGCACTTGTCGGGTCTGGTGGCCCATGAGCAATTCATCCAATGACCCTAAAATCCTTCAAACCGGAACATCCTTTCAAACTATTTTTAGGAAACTGGCTTTTCAATTTTTGGTCATAACTTCTTGCTTCGAACTTTGTTTCAAATGACCTTGTACAGTATAGAAAGCTTGTGACGTGCTGTGTAAGGTTTTGCAAAAATACTTCACTTGACTAATAAAAATTCACATTTGATCATCATGTGAATACCGGAATGTTGCGCGCACACTGATGCTTCGGTATTTGAGTCAGAGGTCCTTCTTCCAAGTGTTGTTTCTATGGCCA